TGCTCTGTAACACTCAAAAACTTATGTTCAGAGTTAAAGGCAAAATAACAAGGTAAAACTTCCATGTTACTTACTGATCACTAAACTTCATATAAATTATCAATTAAATTTTACTGTTTTTTTAGTTTTCAGCAGACTCATAGCGCTTTCTAGGTGCTGTAAATGCGCTACATTATATTAGCTCATTTAATTTTCACAGTTCTATGATTAGGTACTATTATTATCTCCATTTTATGGATGAAAAAGTAACAAGTCCTACATCACAGGCTAATGAGTAGAAGAGCTGGGATCTGAAGCAGTCTGAAGCCAGAGCCTGAGCTTAACCATTAGGATATCCTGTTTTTCCTTCTTTTTGATAATTTTCAAGAGAATATCACTTTTTGCTTTTTAATTTAAAATTTGAGTAAAAAATTTATAATGTTAGTCCCTCAGTAGGGCTTTATCTATATTCATATCATTGAAATTTAAAGACTGGTTTATAACATCTTCTTCTTTGTTTTGCTTTTCTTCTTTTCAATTGTCTGGCAAACGGAGAATAATATATCTGTAGATAAAATAGGGAGGCTGGCAGATATGTATATGAAGTACTTGGAAATGGAGATGATAGGAATTTGTGTTTGGGTAAGTATATGAATCTATATTGGGTAGTAGTTTATTTGGAGTTATTACAATAGCATCTACCATCTATTAATCTATTTACAAAATATGCATCATTTCCATACATTATCTCATTTATTCGTTATAATACTATAAGCTAGCTATTGTTACCCAACTTTATAGAAAAACGAAAGCTGTCTGCAAATTGACTTATGGAGCTTTAAACCCAAGCTATACACACCATCCTACCCCCAGTACAGTCATACTTATGTCTCTGAAACATCTGGGCAATGAGAAATTAATCCGCTTGGGACACAAAAATAATATAAGCAACGTTTGAATAGTATACTACTAAAGGTTCACCTTCATTATCAGAGTGGCTTGGTTATGAGTGGTACAGATAGATTTGAATTCAGACAGGTAAGGCCTCCCTCCAGCTCTGTAACCTGTGTTACTTTTCCTCTCTGATCTTCAGTTTCCTTCCTCTTTAGGGAAGGTGATATTAGGCCTACCTCATCAAGCTGTGGCAACAAATACATCAGATAACTCCCATGAAAACTCCTGGCCCAGAGCAGGAATTTGATACCTGCCAGAGTCTTACATACACTCACTTCAATGCCTCACGTCTCAGGGCTGTATTTATTATCACCACTTTATAGGCAAGAAAACGGAAATTCAGAGAGGTTTCATGAACTTCTCAAGATACATGTTAAAGAGTTACAAGCAGGGAATGAAGTCAAAGTCAACCAAAAGGTAGGGCAGATCTGCAATTCAGAAGGCCCAGAGAAGATTTGTCCAGGCAGGTAACGACTTAATGGAAATTTTAAAGAAATCTTTGTCTTAGGAAACTCTTGTGTTTTTGTGTACTGTCACATTATTACCACAGTCACAACACTCTGACAGCAGCAGTGTAGGGTTTTTCCCCCAAGCAATTCTCTAACACCAGCCGGGTATCCTATAATTCATTCAATTCTGACACTAACCAGAACTAGTGCAGACCCCAGAGGTTAAGGGCTCAGTTCCATCAAACTGCTCCTGCCCCTACTTAAGATGTCAATCGCAGGTCCCAACTGTTATCTGTGCTCCTGACTGACTGGCTGTAAACTGGAGCTTCCCCCAGTCCCTTCCTGCGATTTGATCAACTTACTAGACTGGCTCACAGAACTCAGGAAAACAGTTCACCTACTAGATTACCTGTTTATCACAAAGGTTACTAAAGGATATGTATGAACAGCCATATGAAGAGATGCATATGGCAAGGTCTAGAAGAGTCCCCAGTGTAGGAGATTTTATCTTCATAGAGCTGGGGCGGACCCTCCAGCACACAGATGTGTACACCAACCCAAAAGCTCTCTGAACCACATACTACTGGGATTTTTATGGTGGTCTCATCATACAGGCATGAATGATTATTAACTCATCTCCAGCTCTCTCCCCTTCCCAGAGATTGGAGGAGGGGCAGTGGGGCTTAAAGGTCTAAAATTCTAATCATGGCTTGGTCTTTCTGGTGAATAGCCTCCATCCTGAAGCCAGCTAGGAGCCCACCAAGAGTTACCTCATTGGAATAAAAGACACGGCTATCACCCAGGAAACTCCAAGGGATTTAAAAGCTCTACGTCAAGAAATGGGGTCAAAGATGAAATATTAGAACAAGAGATGTTCCTAGTGTTCCTATCATTTAGGAAATTTTAAGGGTTTTAGAAGCTTTGTGCCAGAAACTGGGGTTAGAGACCAATGTATATATTTTCTATTATTTTATCATTTTTAACTCTCATTTTTGTTACCTTAATGGAAACTTATTTGTGCTATTTTAAATATTTATAGTAAAGAAGTGTACAGTGCTTCACTATTAGCTTTCATATGGCACAGATTGAGACAAAAGCATTATAGGTTGTACCATGAGTTGCATAAAGGTAGAAACCATGTCTTATTCATCTTTGCCTCCCTAAGCCTTATATGATGACTTAAAACATAATAGAGGCTTCATAAAAGGTTGTAGAAATAAACAATAGTTGGTAGATGAATGGATAGATAGTCGAATGAATAGACATATGAACATGTGAAAGGACAAAGGAGGAATAAGAAACTTTCCAGTAGCTGATCAATTCTTAGTAGTTTTGGGGACATATTTATGATTTATATGCTCTGACCCAGGCATTTGTATACAAACAATTCATTTTCCACACATGCATAGCATGCCAGCCTAGACCTTAACCTCTAATCTGATACATAATTTTCAAACTTTAATAGGTGGGACTGCACCTTGTGTCAAAGGTGTGTTAGGGCTAAATCAAACACACACATTACACAGGGTACTCAGAAAAAGAAAATGAGGACCCCAGAAAAGACAAGACTCTACTTCCTCACTTTTCTAAGGAAATGCCTTCACTGTGGTCCCAGGGATGGAAATTGAGCACGTTGGCAAAAAAAGGAGTGTAACTAAGAATTCTGAATCCCCTGAATTCAGGTCAGCCCGAATCTCTTCATTAT